GCATCTTACTGGCAATGGAGAAACATCTTAAAATGAGAAAAACTGTGATGTGTTTGAAGAGCCTTAGGTGTATACAAAGTGATACATGGCAGCTATCACTATCAGCAGTTTTCAATATTGATAGGTACTGGCATTGACATTAAATATAGATAATTAGCTATTCAAATGTGTTACTTGTTATTATGATATGTATGGTTTTAACTGATGTTGAGTATGACACTGATAATATTAATCTATGCTCAATATGTGATTCAATAAGGTGTAAACTGAAATCAAATTTTTATATATATATATAACATAAGATACTGAATATCCAAGAACATTTCCTTCTCAATATGGAAGTAACTTTATTTTATTAAATCAAAATGTAGACCTAGGTTTCTCAAAGATTTGTTCGAACCTCATGTTGCCAAACATTTTGACAACCCTGTGACATAGTATCAGCTGTATTGATTTCCCTGAGTATGTGAGAAATTCAGATGTTTCAGTTGCAATATTGGCATCATATTTTTGCTTAATCTACAAATTAAATATCATCTATATCATTCATGTATGCAATGGGGCTGTTATTATCCAAACCTTTTATGTCTTTGTTGTTTATACTCTTCAAAAAGCATTGAGTGCATAAAATATAGCCAAATGCTCCAGATAATTTTGTGATGACATTTTTATTCTTTGTTTATCTACCACCTACTTTTGTAGAGTTGCAAGCTGCATCCCACCTTTCCAGAGGTGCATCTCATTGTGATGATTACCTTGATTAAATACCCATTTCAGTTTCGTGATATTATTTCACCACCATTTCAACTCTTCTTTTAGATGTGACTGTCATGATTCTCTCATAGTTTTCTGATCAAAGTTTGAAGCAAATCTGTATAAAAAGTTTTGTACACAGATGAAATTCTATAACCTTAGCACCAGTTGTAGTTCTTGCATAATTCTTATTTTATAAAGAGCATGAATTCAACAGTATGGTTTGGGTTTGATTTGGTTGTTGTTAAGTGCAAAGGTACACAATGAACTATCTGTGCTGTGCCCATCATGGGTATAAAACCCAAGTTTTAGCATTGTAAGCCTACAGACTCACTGCTACACCAGTGGCGGCACAACAATGTGACTGTCATTTCATTTAAATTGATTTCATATCCAAGAAAGTATTTTTATGATGGTACAAATAGTTTTTACTCATGAATAATTATGCCAAGATTTCCAAACAACTAGAGGTCAACACTGGTAATCAATGACCTGAGTGCTTGTAGAGGTTTTAATCAAATCACCCAACCTGGCTTTCTTTGTACTTTGCAGGTATCAGTCATTTTTTTGAGATTTTAAAGAAAATGTAAAAAATATGAAAACAACGTAGTTTAATACATGGGTCTCTGGCTAGCATGATAAAAACCAAGGTTCAAATAGGCTTTGCATTAATATTGGAACTTTTGAACTTATGTAGTATCAAGGTTTCACAAATGTACAGACCTGAAGAGACGAAATGTATGCATACTGTATACAGAATTTAACTGTGTGTTATGTAGCTATAATATTAATATATATTTGCACTTATAAGATTAATATATATTTGACAAGTATAATCCAAGTTTTTGTGTTTTTTTACCCAAATAGGACCCAAGTTCCAGGGTATTTTTTTACAGCAGGCACCTCGTTACAGATTTTCAAAGCATGCTGACCTTTACTAACAACAGTATAGTGTCATGTAAATTTTTTAAATATTTTCTTCTGAATTACTAACTAATAGTGAATTTTCCAATGTAAGCAACTTTTTTATTATTATATTATCTTAAAATTGTTACATAAATGTAATAAATGAAATACCAATATGTAGGAATGTATACTTAAAACATTTTCTCTTCTTAATATACTTCGGTAATTTCTGATCAAATCTGCTGATGCTGTGAAAGAATTTGGTTCTGCTAATTTTTATAAGTAAGAATGTTAGAAAAATATATATAATTAATTGTACTCTTTACAATTTTAATTTTGTTTTAAGTAGGTAGCTTGCTCTGATCAGAATTAATATTAATATAATTAAAGTAGGATCTATAATGGCAACAATAATTACTGTTTCCATGACTATGAAATCTTCCTCTAAAGGCTTCTCAGCATCTTGTCGATTGATCATGTGATTGACCAAATCAAAATCAGTACAACAATCTATCCATAGTTTTATCAGGTTAAAAGTAGCTTTGATAACCATATTTTGATTCTGTTGAGTACTGCTAACTATAGATTGCATTCTTGGACCTAGCAAATTCCCATATCATTAAGTACAATAGTGCTTAACAGTAGGGATCATGATGAAACAAAATGGCAGCCATGTCTTAATATTAACAATGACTACTTCACAGTATTGGCTGAGCAAAACTAAAGCTTACTGTACTTATAAAGTTACCTAAATCGCTATATATATATGTTTATAGAGTAATTCAAATTTCATTATTTCAACAAATTTTATTCTATGTAAGTATGTAAGCGACTTTTACATACAAGCTTACAGAAGAAATGACAAACCTTATTGCTCTAATTCTTTCACAGAACTTTTCTATCTGGGATCCTAATGATTCCTTTCTTGTACCGAAAAGGATACTAGTGTGTGTGTGTGTGTGTGTGTATATGTGTATATATATAATGGATGATGTGCTACTTTGGGCATATGATTAGATTTTAACATAGATAGGTAAAGATCCTGACCAGTAATAAAATTGAATCAGGTATACGCATGCTCCACACTTGGTATTGCTGGTGCACAAAAGCATAGGTAATAAAAAGGAAACAAACAAGTATAATAAAGTTTTTTTAATTTTATAAAGACAAGTAGGGATTGATATATTCGTAACCTAGCTAGTTATAGTAATATAGAAAGTTTTAATGTTACAAAATGTATTGAAACAAGAAAGTCAAAAATACAAAACTGAGTTATTTAAATTTTTTTTAAACTATTGCTACTTTGGCTCAGTCTATCATAATTCATCTTTGTTAAAGTAGGGATAAAAT